AACAAATCTAAAAGAATAATGCCACATATTTTGCAACATTAAGATACTTGTACTTCAGTATCCTAGTTTAAGTTTTTAGAGCATGAGACTCAGATTATAACAGATTTGCTTTGCATCTGGAGTTGTTTCTTTTAAAATAAAGATTTGGAACAAAATGCTTATCTGTAATAAAACTGATTTCTATGAAAATGAAGATATGTTTAATATGATTCTTACTATAGGATCATGTAATTGAAAAACTATGGAGGAGTTATAAAATGACATTATTTATTGGAATCAATTTTAATCAACATCTTTTCTTGGATTGCACCAGGTTTTGTACACTTTCACATTTTAACCTCTGAGAAAATGCATTTGTCCTGCATATTAAAGTCAATTAGAGAGTAAATAAGGGGCCAGTTGTTTTACTGCCAAGTGGAGAGTGAAAATATATTACTTGATTAGAATTGGACTGAATATATATATAAAAAAAAAAATCTGCATTCAAAGTATTGAGATTCAGTTGACTGTTCATATCTTTTTTGGTAACACTTTCAATAACCATGTAAAAACATGGTAATAACATAGCAAATCACACTATATTACTTGACAAGAAAAACATTATTTGGTAATTACCCAAAAATGAAGGTGTATTATTTCAAAGTAATTACCTCATGTAATTATTACAATTGTATGTTACTATGCAACAATGGAGACCTTTGATGGGTAATTACTATCAGGTTACCACATAACAGTTTCTATCATTGGCCACCACCTACCACCAGATTACAAAGTAAATTGTAACTTATGATAAGGTAAACAAAGCATTATAAAGCTGACTCAAATTACATATAAATAAGAGTTTAGTTAAGAAGATTGGTTTGTTGTCTTCTAGGTTTGGTTTTCTGTATATGCCCAGTAATAAACTGCATTTTACTAGTTAATAACACATTAATGTATTGCTCTCAGTGATATGACTGAGTTACCTGGTTATAACGGTTTGAAATCTAAGAAGTCTGACTTTAACATGCTCGTCCTAAAATTTGAAGCACATCACTTACCAAAATTTTCCATGAAGTTTTTCTTGTTACCTATTGAGATAGTGTAACTTGCTATGTTATTACCATGTTATTAGTTGGTCAATGATGTACTGTAAAATAAAATGTTACCTCTTATTCTTTCATGAATTTAGACCTTATATCAAATGTTTTTTTAATAGTCATGTTTGAGCCTGTTTGCTTTTTCTGGTGAAATGTTTTATCTCTGCATTGTAATAAGAGATTAACGAGAACCCCATCCTCCTCTGTTGGTTAGGTGATAATCAAACATTCGAATCCATCATTTCTTAACAAGAGATTTTCAGACCTCACGCTGTGAGTTGTGAAAGGCAGCAGGTAGATCTGATGTTAGCAATACACAAAAACTCCCTGGTGCTTTCTATAGCGTTCCACCTCTGTGTTTGCTGATGCCACAGGAACAGTGGGGTTTAAGGGGACCGGAGGGAGGGGGGACCAGGTCTGAATGACATAGCGTTGCTGCATCGGCCGTTGCTCGCTGACCCACAAAATGCAGGCCCGGCCCCTTGTGTGCAGAACTTTTGTGTTGTCATCACCATCTGAAGGCCGACGATGAGGGAAAGGGGGAGGTGGGCGGACTGTCAGGCAGCAGTCCACACTCTCCAGCAGGACACATGCTATGTTAGGTAAATGAAAAGAAGCTTGTATTGCAATGAGAAGCATTTGCATACTTATGCGTTAGAGAGGGTGTTAACCTTTGACACCCTCGAGACCAGGACGACAACGGGGAACACTTCTCAGAGTCCAAGCACCATCACTTGAAAATAGCACCTAAACGTGTTTTCAAAAACTTGTGAAGAGTAAAGGAAAAGGGCAATGTAAGTGCTTGGGGTGGATGTTTCCTTCAAGTGTTAGCCTGCACTCAAAAGGATGTGGATTGGATAATTAATTAGTAAGAGATATGTAGGTTTTAAAGAGTGCTGTTGCATTTCATTTTTGTCTTGGAGGATCTTTATTACAAACTTTGGGTCACCTTAGAGATGATTTGTAAGGAGTATTTGTTTCAGTATAAACTAACAAAGAGACGAAAAGAACAAGAGGTCCTTATATTGTAAAATTCAGAAAAAAATAACTTCTAATTTTATCCAAGTTTGCCATTAAAAAAAACCATTTCCTGAAATTAACTGATTTCTGTTAACTTATAATATAAAATGTACAGTTAACTGTTGACTTTGATATAAACAGGAATAATTTTGAAAGAAATCCAAGCATCTACCTTTTCATCTATAAGGTCTCAGTCATAATTCAACCCACTTAACTTGTTAATCTGTTTCTTCAACCAACATCTTCCTTTCTGTGTGCTGTGTGATTAATGTCCGTGTTTAGTAATGTCAGACAGGACAATGTTAGACCCTTCAGCTGATTTTTTAGGGGATTCTCTCTCTGTCTTTCTGCTGCTCTCAGTCTGAGGGGTCTCATCTTTCCAAGTGCACGCCTTCCACAGAAACAACTTGACTCTGACATTCCTGCAGATAACAGTTGCTAGGGGATGCCATTGTTGGATTATTTCTTTATGGCCACATATTCATACCCAAATCCTGAGGTTCTTTTTGAGAGCCGTCTCATTAGTAGTCATATATTCATACCAGACCACCCCCCTACTTGACCCCTCCTTTACCAGTCGTGGGAAAGACAAGACCTGGACAAGTTGTGGAGGATTCAGGCAATTACTCAAGAGACGGTCAAAGTGTTCAACAATTTAAACACACTTTTAATGTCACAATATACATCATTTACACTGTAGCACCTCCACTTAGTTGTAACATCGTGAGTAGAATTAACATGGCTCTTAGGCATGTCATTAAAAAACAGAAAAATTTGTGGTGACTAAGAAAAAAACCTATTATAATATTATTAGAAACAGATATCTGGAGGATCCAAATACATTTTTAGTTTTAGACAAATTTTATTGTCATTTTCTATGCATACAGTGTATACAAAATGAAATATCATAACATACAGCTTGCCACAGTGTAATGAGATTGCAGTTGGAGTATAATAAACATTACTATAAAGTGCAGCAGTGATCAAAACATAATTTAGGGGAAAAAAGTAATGGTGCAAAAGGGCATTAATATGAAAAAGGGATTTTCATAACAGCATTTCTTCTCGCTTGTTGTTGTGTACTGACGGTTAGCTGAGTCAGCTGAAATCCTTTTCTAAACTCTACAAACTGGCATCACTGGAAATACAGCCCAAACTAAACAAAGACATCCCAACATTTCTAATAGACTCTTTTAAAAGTCTAAACTAATTATTCTCTATGTGATAAAGCCAGTTAAGCCTATAATTATGAACACCCTCATACATTTATATTTAGAGTGATAGTTTTACATTACTAAGATGTTCCTTATGATCCAAAGTAATGCTGACTTTTTTTAGAGGCCCACCTCACTCCTGCCCTGGATCTGAATGGAGATAATATTAGGGTGATGGCAAAGAGGCTGTTCAATCTCAATATTCATATCAACTGTTAATATCACTGTTATAGTCAATAACTAATATCAAGATCAGATTAGAAATTCCTTTATTGTCCCAAGGGACAGAAATTTGAAACTTAATGTAGCAAGAAAAGAAATCTTACAAACAGGACCAAATGATATTAAAAAAATATGTGATTGTAAAAGTTAAGCTTTACAGAGGATGAAATAAAAATAATGAAGGTGAAAAATTACTCTGCAGGTTTAAATTAAAAGAATGGGTATTAAAAAATATAAAAATGTTAAAGTTAGAAATAAAATAGACATAAAAAGAGGAGCTGGTTTTCAGTGGTGTCAAAAGTACACATGTTACTTAAGTACCGGTAGATGTATAGATACTGCAGTTTTAAAACATTCTGGTAAAAGTTGATGTATCAATTTGACCTCTTTGGTCAAGTGGAAAAAGTATGTGCTCCAAAAACTACTTAAAGTATAAAAGTATAAAGTAACCTTTAACAAAAACAGCCAGATGCCACTATATGAATTGAAAGCTCAATTTTTCGGCTATTTAGAAAAATTCTTTGAGATAGGGCTAAGGATGAGGGAGGTCTGGTTGCTCGTCTGTGTCCAACCTTTCAGACATTTCAACATATTTTTCTATTGCAGCATGGCATAGACAATTTGTGTTTGCAGTTTGAAGAACACCTGCTTGCTTCTGATGATTTCCTTTAGCTAACCAATGAGTGTTTGCGTTATATGACTCATCCAATTACACTAGTTTTCACTAGATGTGGATGGCGCCAATGATCTGCACTGGATGGCACACATGATGTGAAATAAATATTAACGAATAATGATTAATTTAAAAATGTAAGAAATAGAAAATACAGATACTTGTTTGAAAATGTAAAGTACAGTAACAAAGTATTTGTTGCTGATTTTAAACAAAATTGAAACAAAAATGTGAAAAAATGACTGTAGGAAAAAAAACATAAGTAATAAACTGGGCAAATAATCATTAGACATGACCCAATATTATAAACATCAAAAACATTTTCCCCTCCCTTTGACTGTGAAAATATAACCACATAGTCTGCTTCAGTTAAACACCCCATAATCCTACCCTGCATCATTGTTAATCCAGGATTAAGGGGTGTTTACATAAATTAGAATTTCATCGTGTCTCGAAAATTTTTTATTATGGCTCAATCATGACTTAATGACTTTAATTGCCCTGATTGCGCCAGGCTCATAACAATTGAAGAAGGTTCAAATTCTATTCAATGGACCAACTGCTTGGCCCCGCCCTTCTAATTCCATATTTGGGGCCCTTCCACATTCCACGGGCCGATGGGAGGAACTATGACGCCACCTGTTTGTGAATGGGCCGTGCGGGGTCCAGCTCAGAGCGCACTGCAGTCAGCCGGTCGGGACGCAACATTCACAGACTGCAGGCGGCTGGAGAGAAGCTCAGGAGTTTGGGACACACGACGTATTATAATAATAAAAAAAAAAGAAGTGGAACATGGAACTGCCTCGGGTCGTCCTTTGCTTACTGTTATTTATCAATCAAGTTTCCACCAGCCTTCAGTCTAAAGAACGTGAGTATTTTTCTCTAAATAAAGTTCTGTGAGGAGTTAGACCGCACCTCATGAGTCAGGATGTTGGAATTTAAAGTTTTAATTCTGATTTAACTTTTTCTGTTCTCCAATTACAGCTTAAGCTTTGTGTTTTAGGGTCGTTTGTGTATTTTAATTGTTTCCGATTTTTCTATTGAAGCATGTTTTGAGTTAAGTTTTTAATTCACCCTTTGAAGTTCTAATAATATTGTTTCAGTTTCCAAAAATGTGGAAAAAACAGGTCTGAAGTTATATATTTTTTTGAATAATAACTAGTCTTTTATTAATTGAATGGCCTAGTGAGCCAATGGAGCTGCTGAAAGGGGGGCACCTGTTTCCTCATTTAACATGTCACCCTTTTTTTCTTTCATTCGGGTCACGCAGATTCGTGTATTTCCCCTCTTCATGGTCATTTAAAAGCCCACGCCTTTCTCAGACACTATTAAATCTGCACCCTGAGCCATGAGGGACACGGTTACTGAAAATCTGAATCAACCCGACATGGTTGATTAAAACGTCAAAGTGTGGCATGTGCCCCCATAAAACAGATCAAAGCTTTTTTTTTTTAACAGCTCAATAACTTATAAAACATTGTCTTACTTTCTTTTGTATTTATTATGATACACTTTTAAGGAAGCACAGTTTTCTGGAGGGTCAAAGAAAAGCCTACTTTTAGTTCAAACTTTCCAACTCATATGTAGGAATTTATTAAAAGGTAATTGAAATATAAAACTCTGTTTCTAAGAGAATGTAAATATTTTACATGAACAGTAGAATAATTTTGATGCAGAAATATAATTATATAGCTTATGTTCTTATCCTGACTCCACACCCTACTAAAGGAGCTGGTTGTAGGACTAAATCCAAATACTGGAAAGTTGAATGGAAGGAAAAAGTACTCTATTGGTTCTATCTGGGTTTTTCATCACACATAGGGCTTGATGCAGTTGCAAGGTTTCTTTAGACAGAAAGTGTTTTAACATAATTTGATTGAACTGACTGACTATACAAAGGAGCTGGATTGAATTACATTGATGGCTCTGATATTTTTAACTGAGCAGGAATTGCCTTTAAAATACATTCTGTTTTTTCCCCCATAGATGTGTTGCTAGATATGAAAGCTTCTGGTTCAGAGCTGGGATGGCTGACGTCACCATATGAGAATGGGGTGAGTATTTATACCTCAACAGACACTTTGTAGGACCCTGGATCCATGACTTGAAGCATGACTTTTTATGAGTAAGACCTCTGTGGAAGTTTGGTTTAAAACCTGCATGGTGACAATGACTGAGGCCTTCCTCTCGCTGGTTTAGCTGCCCTAAAAAGGTTCCCTGGGAGAGATGGAATGAACAGCAGTGCGATGAGGTTTGGCAGAGCTCAGCTTGTCTTGTTAATGTTACCCTTTCATAAAGAGCTTATGGAGGCCATTAAAATGTCAGAGTTCAACCTACATTTAAATTTACTTTACCAGAGTGCGTTTTACAGAGCTACAGTGGATTGATTTCTCTTTATACCTCAACCGCAAAGCAACATTTTCTCTCTTTTCTTTTCAATAATGAAGATATCACACTCAGAAGAGATATGGAAAGTCATAAGATATAGTAGAAAGTCTCATCCAGATGTAGGGAGCCATCCTTCCCATCTCTATCTATAGTTCATTTGCTTTCTATCCAAAATAAGAAACAGGATATGGCCATTTCCAGCGTGCGGTCTGTGTTTCTTGTTGCACTGAAAGATCTAAGAATGTACGGATTGCCGTTGTACTGAAACGGATTTCCCTGTTTGTGCAATTGAGCTTTGTTCTACTATTACAACTTTGTTCCACTTTATTTATTTTTGCACGTAGCATTATTATTTTTGCAAAGCCTTTTTTTTAAACTATAAAATGACTTTACTGTTCGATATTTAAAGTCCAAAATGTTTATATTAAGGCCAATTTTGGAAAAAAGAACACTTTGTGAAGTCGGGACATGGACAGGGAAAGCTGGGGACTTTACACCAATATGGCTGCAGCAATCATATGATGTAGCAAAGGGAAAACCTGCTTTTCATTGCCTTAAATCTGCATTTGGGAGTTAACAAAAAGGCTAAGATACACTGAAAGAGAAAAAATGAAGGAAGGAGGTTTGGGTGCATCAGCCGTAAACTGAACAGAGTGGGTGAAGAAAAGAATTTGATTTAAAAACTGGAAATGCTGTAGTGCCTTTAAGGAGTACCATTCTATTGCTCTTTACATAAGCGTAATTATCTATTAGATGCTCACTCTGACCAGAAGCTCCCTCTGTTCTCAGTCTGAGTTTAACTCAGGAAGATTATTGGTGTCTCAATATGGCATCTACTATTTGACTGTTAATGGTTTATATAGTAGAGCTAAAACATTTTATTTCTTGGAGTTTTACTACAAAATATACGCTACTACTTGGTTCCATGATTTGGAGTTGAGGACGACGTAATTGGAAAAACTAATTTGCATTTATACTAAATAGGCTCAAAGGAGGGTAATCTGCTACGGTAGATCACCACAGCTTATTAACATTTAAGATCTCTCTCTCACTTGATAAAAAAATCTGAAGAGTTCTTTTAATTTCAGTATAAAAGTTTCAACAGGTCAGAAAATTAAAGGATCATTTTAATTGTCTGCAGAAATTGATCATTTCCTCTCTTCTTTCCCACATCAGTTGTAAAGCTGAATCACTCTCTCACCGAAACCCTCCCAAACTGCTTACATATGACGTGTTAAATTTTAATCAGGATTTAAGACTTTTAATCTTTTTACACGTCAGTGCTTCCCTCTCATAAAAAAGCCCTCTAATTGCTGGTGACTTAGCTGCCATGCCTCTCTCAGCACGGCACTTACAAAGCTTTTTTAACTGCCAGAAATGTTGGTTCTACTGTAGCCGTCGCCTGGTTGATGCCTTCCATGCACGTTTCCATGTGTGTTTGTGGAAAAACCACACACGTTGAGAGCACACAACACATGTCCAGACAACTTTAATGTGAGGATAGAAAAAAAAGCTTCTACAGACTTCCAAGTTCCAGGAAAAAAAAAAACATCTCAATGACAAATGTTTCATTATGAGTGGATATGATTATGTAATATTTATACTTGGTTTATTCTCTCTTTGCAGTGGGAGATTGTTCAGACTGTGGTGAACGGCTCGCTTTTTTACACCTACAGTGTTTGCAATATAGACTCTACTGACCAGGACAACTGGTTACGGACAACTTTCATTCAGAGACGTCCAGAGAGCAGCCGTGTCTTTGTGGAGCTCAAATTTGTCGTAAGGGACTGCAACACCTTCGACGGCTCCTCTGTCCCCTGCAAAGAGACGTTCAACCTCTACATCTCTGATACCGACGCCGACGTTGGGACTAGCTTCCGCAAAGGGCAGTTCCGCAAGGTGGCCACCATCGCTCCCGACGAGGTCACAAGAGGTCGAGTGCCGAAGGTCAACACGGAGACGAGGACCGTGGGTCCCCTGTCCAAAAAGGGTTTCTATTTGGCTTTCCAGGACGTGGGTGCCTGCGTGGCCCTGCTGTCCGTCAGAGTGTACTACAAGACTTGCCCGTCTACGGTGCAGAGCCTGGCAGCCTTCCCGGAGACGGTAGCAGATGCTTTGAGGGAAGTGGAAGGAGTCTGCGTGAAGAATGCCATCAGTCAGGCCACCCCACGCATTTACTGCACAGCTGAGGGTAAATGGGTGGTTCCCGTGGGCCTGTGCCAGTGTCGCCCAGGATACGAAGCCACAGAAAGCTCCTGCCAAGGTAAACCCTGCCAGAAATCTGCCCCAACTGTGCTAGGCTCGCCTCGGGTGTTGTAACAAATTTGTCTCGGCTGAGTGGAACGAGTGAACAGGAATGTTAATTATGCCTGATTTGTTTGGATATAAGTGCCAAGAGATGGCAAACAGTGATTACTTCATATCACTCACAAGAGTAAATCTGTGAGGAAATTCAACTGTCTCTCACTAACGCCTTTTCATATTTGTACCTGTTGCCCAACAGCTCTTTGTTTCTACCCCTGGTCGCTCAGGTTTCAGGAATGGGGCAGGGCTCAGAGACTGTTTTATTGCTTCCAGTGAAAATACAGCACTGTCGCAGCTTGATGTGACCTTTAGATTTGTTGTCTTTTTGAATTATTAAGCTATTTATAATCAGCCAAAGCTTTTTTTTTCCTGTTAACTCCTTAGCACAAATTTTGGTCTACCATGATTAATTCTAATCCTTTACATTTTTAACTAGTATTCCTTGTGAAAAGAAAGGACAGTTTTTCTCTTATGACATTCCTACAAATCAAAAACCTGAATCCTGGAAAGCAAATATTCTTAGTTTAGTTTACTTAACAATAGAGGCTATTGAATAATTAAAAGATTCCTTAAAAATCTTGACCTCAGAATCCATCATGGCTTCATTGTGAATGAATGAATGAAGCCACACCTTGTGAAATTCTTTACAGGCCTCCCTTTCACATTCCTCTGAAAGCTGTTACCTCTAAACCTTTCTCTAAAACACTTTTTCCTTCCACCAAACTTTCTAAAAAATATCCTGACACACATCACACTTTGAACAGCCAGCCTCTTAGCAATGGCCATGTGGCTGAGGTCATGTATTAAGACAATTTAGTACAAATATTTGGGAATATACTTGTATTATTTTGAATAATTACATCTAATGAAAACCCTGAAATGTTGCAATCTGAAAAGGCTGCAGGTATTCTTGTCGCTTATTCGTTTTTGTCATATTCCTCTTTTTAACTCAACCCCCAAAATCTTGAAATCTAAAAAAAAAAACTCTGGTAGTTGCAATAAACTTCAGTACATTTAAGTGAACATGAGATGTTAAAATTTTATATAGGAGACCAACAAAAGGCAAAGACTTGGCCCGGGCAGTCATGAACTATCTACTCTCTTTGCATGTGTGGAAGTTGGTTTGTCCATTGGTATTCTAGGGTGTGGTGTTGTCTGGAGGAAACGTGGGAGGAGAGGGTACGAAGGGAAGAGGAAGGAGGGAGGAAGGGCCCTCGGTGTGCTGCGGGGATTTCAGAGAGAAATTCTTTCTTCCTCACGTCATCGCAATACCTACAGCGCTGATTGACTGGAGGAAGGGCCATGTGAATGTGTTGGAGCCACTACCTGAAAGCTCTGTGTGTCTTCTCCTCGCAGGAATTTGTTTTGGGCAGGTTGCTAAGGCGACAGCAACCACAGATTGCAGGGACGAGGCTGACACACCTTTCAGGGGTTAGACTGAGTCAGGCTGCGGTTTTATGACTCCTCACAGTCCGAGCCACCTTGACTGCTAGAAGTCATGTGTGATATTTGAACCTTTTCCTATAAGTGGGCAGGCCATTCAGACAAAGGATAAACTTTTACACAATTTAATCAATTCATATTTTAACTGGTTAAAGAAGTACTTTCAGAGTTTCTGATTTTGGGGACGTGTTTCTTTTTAATTTGGATTTGTATTTTGTGCTACTAAAATGATAGATTCGTGTGCTATTGTCTAACAATTAGATTTCAAAATCATTTCTAACACTCCTCCTTTCATTTTTTTGTAGTCCACAAAAAAAGAAAAGATTTTAAAACTTAGATAAATGAAACTGACACTTAAAAAAATATTTTTATCTGTGTGTATGAATAGCCTATTTAGAAGCCTTCAGTTAATAATCGCTCTTTAATGTTTTGGTATTTTAGTATGATACCCATGTGACTTAACAAGCCTTAATAATGAGAAAGACAAGAATACAAAACATTTGAGTCATTAAATTCGTTTTGTTTTTTCTTGTGATTCCAAAGTGCTTCAAAAAGGCATGGCTTAAAATTATTATTAAATCAAAACATTTTAAATTCAGTTCAAAAACATTAAATGATACAGATAATTGAAATGGTAATTTTATTAATTTATATTAAGGAAAAATAAAAAGAATAAAAATGTTTTCAGCTTCAAGTAAGACAGATTTGTTTTGATCTTTAATGTCAAGAAATTGCAACAAGACAGATGCCTCTAACCTAATTACTTCAATTTTCCCTTTGTTAGTTAATTTTGCACCTTTTTTTAAAGTGAGGTTATGCTTCTTCAATAAATACGTAGAATATTTTAAACCCTACTATAAATAATTACCAGGAATATGAATAGGTCTTGAGTGCACTGTAAATGCATATTTCCCATACTTCTTTTAATAGACTAAACAAGGAATTGATTAGGTGGCAAACTAACTGATAATGGAAAGTTTAGCCTTGCATATCAGCAGAGATGGCAAAAGTACTCACTTTCCGTACTTGAGTAAAAGTACAGATACTTGTGTTAAAAAATACTCTGGTAAAAGTGGAAGTACTGATTAAACTTCTTTACTCAAGTAAAAGTAACAAAGTACAGGCTTGTAAATTTACTTAAAGTATAAAAGTAAAAGTAGAAACCACTTTTTTCATACTGTTGCCTACATTTTAAATGGATGTCTGCCAATAGGACTAGATCTCCGTTGTGTTCATTTTCAATCATCTCGTCGTCCATGCTACTATGCTAACGCCACCGCCACCAAGCTGCAATGATTTGCCGCCAATGAATACCGCCGAATCTGTCGATTCATCTTGTAGTGGTGCGTCAAATGCAACGTAGATTCCCATCCAGTTAGATTGAATTTGGTATTGATGACGTGAAAAATAATAACGGTAACTCCATTGAAATGATTCAAAACTAAAGTAACGAGACAATTTTTTAAAATGTAAGGAGTAGAAAGTACAGATATTTGTGTAAAAATGTAAGGAGTAGAAGTAAAAAGTCGCCATAAAAATAAGTAGTAAAGTAAAGTAAAAATATCAGAAAAATCTACTTGAGTACAGCAACAAAGTATTTGTACTTCGTTACTTCCCATCTCTGCATATCAGTGGCTGATAAGAACTGTTCTTCAAAGCACAATCATCTCGCAATCAGGTTGTAAAAAGTTTCTCTCGATGACCATACCGGGAGATGGAAACGGAAGTTGGCACAGAAAGACAGGAAATTTGCTTGTTACAGAGACATGTATGATTCCAACGTTTGGGTGATAGCCTGATTAATAAGAACGAGGAAACATCTGCTGTTGCACAAAGAACAAAAAAAAAAAAAACGTCAGTGATCTTCTGTCAGCCAACGAGAGAAAGTGATATTCCAACAGGCTCATGTCCTGTGTGTGGATTTCACCGACGAGCCCAACTGTTGTGAGAAAAGGAAGCAGAAGCGACATGAGGAGGAATGCTGACTGACACAAATAAGCAGATTGTCCTTTAGTGGACAGTTGGTGCACGAGGGGAGGTTAGTTTCAAGGGTTGCCTAGTTAGGTGCGGGGTGTAATTTAGTCAAGAGGATTAGTAGAGCCACAGGACAGCTGTTAGCCAATGACATGCCCCACTCGGTCTCCTTTTACTCTTTCATCCGGTTGTTAACACACGCAACGAGCTCCCTAATCCACGTTCTCACTGATTACAACAATGGCTTAAACCACAAAGAGCAAAAAAATCATTTCAGTCGTTAGATTCACCAGTGGCTAACTTTCTCTGTAAACTTTTGATAATGTCAGAGCCAGAGATAATCAGAAGAACAAAAGAAGAATTTGGAATAGTTTCATTCTATTTATGTAAATGTTTTCTATTTGCATTAGATGTAATGCAAATTAAAGATTTGGATAGGACTTCCTCTCTGCCAAAGTTTGCATTAACTTTGTTTGGGTTTTTTTTTTTTTTTTTTTTTTACACTGCACACATGCTGCCATTTATGGGCTTTATAAAAAGCAATGCAACATGTTTATGGCACCACTCTGTCCGATCTCACAGACAATAGATGAATGGGGCTGTAGTTCCTTTAGTACGTGACAGAGGTCCTGCTGTTCCAGCTCAAGATAAAATGGGAAGGCCCCCTTTTCTTATTCGAAAGGACGTCGGCTACACCCCCTCTGTCGCTGAGTGACTCCCCAGAGAGAGCTTCTGTTGGTGCTCCAGACCTTAACCCCGCCATCCCCCCTTCTATTCATCCTCATCCCACACTCAACCTGCTCCCTCTCCTCTTCTTTACCAGCACTACTTGGGGTGCAAAGGTCTTTCTGTTTTGGTGGGGAGGTGAGGCGCTTACGTCTACAATCCGAGGTTCATGGTACTTCTTCTCTCTGGCACTAGGAAAGGCGCCAGGATAAAAAGCACAAGATTAAAAGATATTTAAGTATTTAAAAAACAGATGGACTCAAATAGAGGAAATATGAGACCAAAAGTAAACTTTTGGCTTAAATTCAAAAAGCTTGGTGTGGTGGAAAGATAATGCCCAGAACACGACATCCATTGGTAAAACAAAGTGGTGGCAGCACCTTGCAGTGGCTGTGCTTTTTTTCTTCTGCAGGAACATGAAACCTTTTGGTCATGACAAGATGGATGGAGCTAAAACCTGGAAGAAAATCTATTGGTGGCTTCAACAGAGTTGAGGTTGCGATGTAGGCTAACCACCCATTGGCCACTGTAGCCTTATCCAAGGCAGAAAATATGTGCATCTGCTTCCACAAAGAAAGGAAGAAAGGGCGGAAACGACAGCCTCAGACTGCATTGAAGCCCTCTTCTGATTTTTTTTTAATACTGTATGGATGTTTACTAACCTTCTATGCCCTGGAAAGCTAATTATCTCCACGATAAAAGGCCAGTTTAAACCACTCAACCAGTTTCCAAGGTGTCATTTCCTTTGGCAAAAACAAAAATATTATCTACCAGAAATTTGAGCTGCAGAGTTCACAGGGGAAAGGAGAGATCTGATCACCTGATGGATTTACAGCCCTGGTTCCATCCGGTAGACTCTGGCAGTGTGACCTGAGATCATGCCTCCAGGCTGAAAAAAAAAAGAAAAGAGAAAGACAAGTGGAGGCAGATCTTCAAGGAAATCCCGTCTCATTCTTCCGGATACAAAGACTATGTGATTACAGGTTGCTCACAACAAATGCTTCCTGTTGGCTGGAAAGGGGCCGGACTGATAGAGATAGACTTATTGTTTACTTTTGGATCGCTAACTCCTTCCTCTGTTTGTCTCTTTCATATGACACACTAACATGAACACACCCTTTTTATTTTTCTCACACAGAATGCAAACCGGGCTACTTTAAACCGTCTGTCTCCAGTGAGTTATGTCAAGTTTGTCCAGATAACACCAAGCCTTCTTCAGCTGGTGCGACTAAGTGTCTCTGTAAGGAAGGCTTCTTCAGATCCCCTTCAGATCCTCCGACAGCAGCTTGCTCTGGTAAGAAATCCTACTCTCTGTCTTTTTTGCACCTCAAGTTCCTTCTGGAGCCACTGGATGTACTTTAGAAGATGTCTCTGACTGATTTATTTCCCTGTTAAGCTCCTCCTAGCGCCCCACGCGACCTCTCTTCCACCACCCTCTCAGGAGAGGGTCGCCTGCTCCTGTCATGGAGCCCACCTGTCGAGACCGGAGGGCGTAGCGACCTCACCTACAGCGTGGTGTGTGAGATCTGCGACGAGTCCCAGTGTGCCCCCTGTGGTGAGAAGATCCGTTTTGAGCCCGCTTCGACAGAACTTCAGGAGCCTGAAGTGGTCGTTAGTGACCTGGATTCTCATCACAACTACACGTTCACTGTGGAGGCTCACAGTGGAGTGTCCCAGCATGGCACAGAGAGGGCCGCTGCATCCATCACCACTACTCTGGATTATACAAGTGAGATTTATGGACCTCCATTTCTCTTTGGTTAAGATCCTAAATACTTTTAATGGTTAATCTTTATTCCAGCTATAAGTTTACTGCACCAGCCATATAATTACTGTGATAAAGGCATAAGAAATCTTCAAATGAGTTACTTTTTCTTACTTAAAACATTTTAGAACAATCCTGAATTGGATCTATATAAAAAAATGTTTGCAAAAGTTCCCACATCATGAAATAATTTATACTTACCATTACCACAGTTGTTGGTACCCCTTAAAATTCCTTTTAGGCTTTAGGCTTTTAGTTTGATACTTCTCAAGGGAGCTTTAACCAATGTTATCTTCAATATAATAGCACAGAGGCCATTTATTCAAAATGGAAAAGGCATGAGAAGAAAGTCTTGCACTATAAGATTTTTATTTGAATATATTTTTCTGATTTACCAAGACGATCTAACTTTCGCCTTACATAAGTAAGATATTTGCATTTACAAATAAATATATCACAAAGAGCCTTAAAAACTAAACATCAAATGCATAAAATATAGACGTTTATATAAAATTTTAGATAAATAAAAAGATAGAATAAAATAAAACAATGAAAGAAAGAAATGTTTAAACCCTGTGACTAAAATGTTGCTTTAAAAGAAGTACTGTGCAATTAATTTTAAAAAGTTGTATATATGTTATGAGTGGGGAATTGGTACAAAATAAAAATAACTATCCTATTATCACAATAATTTCCCCACAAATTAAAGTATCTGAATGGGTGAATCTATCTCTAAATAATTCAGTGTGACGGTGTTCTGCTGCAACACATGTCAACAGTCTTTTGAGCCGTTTTACACATATTTACCAATGGTGACAGTAGTTTTGCAAGACTGTGTGGCTGTATATAATATAACTAAAGTCTTAGATAAGTGTCCTTTGTAGATTGTAGTAAGCTAGGAGCCAACCACCTTAAGAGGAGGAAAACAGTTTTTTGTGCAACCTTCCAATTAAAGGCTTCTACCAAAGACGGACTTACTACACAGAGAGGAATTTAGTCTGACCCACTGAATCCCAGAGGCTTTCATTTCCAAACACTATGATTAGTCACTAACCATTATTTTGCGCTCTGTCTCTCACCGACCTTTAGATCCCCCCAAGGTGACGTCGATCCATCTGGATGATCGTGGTCCCACCAGTCTGTCTCTGTCCTGGACTCTGTCTCGCAGACCTCAAGCCCACATTAGTCACCACTATGAGCTTATGTACCGCAAAAAAGTAAGATAGAGTTCCTTTCTTCTCCCACGTAAAGTTTTAAAGGGCTGTAGCTGTTGTCTTTGCATTAGAAGAAACCTTTCTAATGCAATATCTCCTTGCAGGATATTGAGGGAGAGAGTGATGTAACCACCTACACTGTCCTAATTCTGGACAAGAATTCTGTCCAGATTAATGATCTCATCCCAGATACTACCTACGTGTTCAGAGTTTTGGTCAAACTGAGTCCTGAAGCCATGCCTGGCAGCTACAGCAAGGAGCAGGCATTTCATACATCATCTTTAGGTAGCAGCACCAAACCCAAACAACCACATTGAAATATATATGTTTGTTTGTGTTTTCAAATGACAAAAATCTGATTCTGTATGGTTTGTTCAGCTGAATCTCAGATACAGAACAGGCCCACCTTAGTGATGGGAGCGGTGGTTGGAGTGGCTGTTATTCTGCTTGTTGTTGTGGCCGTCCTGCTGCTCAGAAGGAGGTATGTTGTAACATACTCTAAATCCACATTCAACATGTGTATGTTATTAAGATAAATGTAATAGGCTACTCCTCTTGAAACTCTGTGATTATCAGCCGCATAAAAAAGGAGGGTTTTAAGTAATAGCCGGTGCTGCTGAGGAATAATTCCTTTCTCCTTTTTGGCTGAGGCTGATGTGCAATTATTAAAAAGCTGGCATCTATTCTGCTTGATTGATGTTGTTTTGTTTCCTCTCAGAGGACTGAGCTGTCGAGGCAGAGGAGGGCCTGAAGATCCCTACTTTTCTACAGGTACGCATAACGGACAGAAAAAGTTGCATCTAACAATAATTAAATGTTTCCTTTTAACCTTTTTTTTAATGTTATTCTGTCTTCTTTAGATCAGCTTAAGCCTCTGAAGGCTTATGTCGACCCGCATACGTATGAGGACCCTAACATTGCCTTTCAAAAGTTTGTCAAAGAAATCGACCCAAATGTGATCAGTAAACAGAAGGTCATCGGTGTCGGTAAGGAGATGTTCAGTTATTCATGAAGATGCATGGATTAGAGATTTTTGGGCCAATTTAGGGATACTTTTTTTCATAACTTTCTGAGTTTTGAAATAATAATTTAAAAAAACTTCCCCGTCATAAGTTTAATTTCACCCTGGTTAATAAGAATGTGAAGTTTATTTTCTAAAAGCTTCTTTAAGCTTCCACACTGAAGAGTGTTATTATTAGAGCAAACTGTTTGCAAATAGGCATGGTGTATTCTTTGTGTATTCAATGATTTTGAGTTTCTTAATCAACTCTAAACTTAAAAGTCTTGGTTTTGCGCCTTCCTAAACATGTCCTTCCTCTTTCTGTGTTCGTTAGGTGAGTTTGGGGAAGTGTTTCGTGGCATCATGAAGGTTCCTGGGAAGGGAGAGGTGGCTGTAGCCATCAAGACCCTAAAACCTGGCTACTCAGAGAAACAGAGGCAGGACTTCCTTAGCGAGGCCAGCATCATGGGCCAGTTCTCACATCCAAATATCATCCGGCTTGAAGGAGTCCTCACTAAATGTGAGCATAGAGCATCAAACAGATCTCCAACATCCAATCTGATGTAGATTTTACTTTTGGTAAACTATAATTTGAACTACAATCCATCTGAATATATATTTTATATTTTCAGTCAAGCATGCCATGATAGTGACAGAATACATGGAGAATGGAGCTCTGGACACATATCTGAAGGTAGGTTGGTGTATTTTCTAAAGACTTGGAAAATCGGGAAAAACGTTTTTACGTTTTTCCATTATTACTCATTTTGCAGTAAAAAAAAAAAAGGCTAAACTTTTAATAACATACAGGAAAATCTGTTTTCTCGGTTCCTTTAGGATCACGATGCAGAGATTCCTTCATACCAGCTTTTAGGAATGCTTCGAGGAATTGCTGCTGGCATGAAATACCTCTCAGATATGAACTATGTCCATCGAGATCTGGCGGCGAGAAACGTCCTGGTCAACAGCAACCTGGAATGCAAGGTGTCCGACTTCGGTCTTTCTCGCGTTCTGGAGGACGATGCTGAGGGCACCTACACAACCAGAGTGAGTCTAGCTTTTTATTTCACAATCTGTAAAGCAGTATAAGAAACTCCAGCTCTTGCTGGGTTTAGTCTTTATCCACTGCACATTCTATATTGTTTCCACTCTTAAGTGTTGGTCCCTGACCGCCTCAGATTTCTTCTCCCGTCACATATTAAGCTTGATTTGTTGATGTTTCTCTTGTGTCAGGGAGGTAAAATCCCCATCCGCTGGACTGCTCCAGAGGCCATTGAATACAGGAAGTTCACCTCGGCCAGCGACGTGTGGAGCTTTGGCATAGTTATGTGGGAAGTCATGGCATTCGGAGAACGGCCCTACTGGGACATGAGCAACCATGAGGTATGTTTCATCTGTCACGGCCCTTATGGCTGTGATGACTGATTGTTTCGGCCTGTTTTCGGTATGTGGTGATAGAAAGAAACCTTGCAGCCAGCGTGTGGCTTCTCACCATCTTTATCAAATCCTAATGTCATTATAGTCGCACAGCAGTTTTCTGGAGTGCTGCCTGTTCAAACTGACTGAAGGTCATAAATCTGCCTTAAATCCAGGAGCTTTCCTAACTCGGGCCCCCTCTCCCCCTCAGGTCATGAAGGCTATCAACGAGGCTTTCAGGCTTCCTGCGCCGATGGAATGCCCGTCTGCTATCTACCAGCTCATGCTTCAGTGCTGGCAGCACGACCGCTCCAAACGACCTCGCTTTTCAGACATCGTCAACATTTTGGACAAACTTCTGCAGAGTCCAGAGTCTTTGAAAACCATTGCTGACTTTGACCCACGGTAATGGCAAAAGGATTTTTTTTATAGATCAGTCAACTGATATATTGGGGTCTTTTGATTTCTTTTTACTGCAATTTGTAACCAATTTTCAAAATAATGTTTATTTATTATCACTGTAGCTTTTTGATAAAAAAAATAAATAAAAATAAAATGGTGTACAAATTTCTTTGGGTACCTGGAGTTTTAAAACATTTCTGTAATATAGTTTGGGGGGGGGGGGGAACTTTGAGAAAGTTAAATAGATATAGGTCTCTTTCTTTATTTATGTATTTTTTTTTGCCCATTTGAATGATTATTCCGTATTGTTTCCTGCAGTGTGTCCATCCGCCTGCCCAGCACTAGCGGCTGTGACAACACCATGTTTAGATCAGTGCCAGAGTGGCTGGAGTCTATCAAGATGAGCCAGTATAATGAAAGCTTCACCCGAGCAGGGATAACAACCATGGAGCATGTTCTTGCTTTGAGGCCAGAGTAAGTGTTTTTCTGATTTATTCCACATGTTGTATTTTTTATTACTCACGCTGAAAAACTATTAAGCTTTCAGTTCATGTACCTATTATACGGTTTGGGAATGCAGAAATACTTCAGGCGCTAATTTCCTTTTTATCATTCTGTTGCCATAGTGATGTTGAGATAGTTTAAACACCTGATCCAAGGCTTTTGATATGACTTCTGATCTGACATCTTAAGTAAAGATATTATTGAACCAGAGTCACTGGTTCTTATGCTACTTGTCTTTGCAAGTTAAACTTACTGATGCAAAGTGCTCTAATCCCTTATTGCTCCACAGTTTTGCACATTTAGCTGAGCAATGTGAGATATATATCCTTGTACAGATTCTAACAGGTGCTTATTGTGTTTCTTCTTTTCAGAGACATCAGGAACATTGGAGTTCGGTTGCCAGGCCATATGAAGAGGATAGCATACAGCATCCTGGGCCTGAAAGACGAGACCAGCTCCCTCAGCGTGTTTGCAGTGTGATCTAAGCATTCCTCCAAATCAAAGTGCACTGACCGGCCATGCCATTTCACTCACAGACTATGAGCTGACTGAAGCGGGAGGGAAGGGGGGAGGGAAAGAGTCCCACTGCAAGGATTTTCTTGTCTTTATGTGGCCCAACTTTGCAAGATAAAAGAGGAGCCACCAAACCCCTCAGAGAGGGCTGAGAACTGAGCACATTTGTGTAATATAGCAAAACATAAGAGGATAATTTATATACGAATGTTTGATATGTTGAACATATACAGAAAAAAAGTGCATAATGTGAGAGTGCTTTTACAAGTGGAGACTGACTGAAAGATATTAAGCACTCACTTTTTTCCCCCTGTCTTCCTGGATGGTTCAGCCTTTTTATTTTATATTCTGTGAATTATAACTTGTTTTTTTTTTAATTTGAGGTTTTCATTTCACTCAGGGCAAAAGTCTGATTCTTATGTTTTGCAGTTCATGTTTTCAACCCACATTTTCATTTGTTTACATCATGTCTTAATACAAGTGCTTATTTTTATTTAATATTTATTGCATTTTATATTTATGTAATTTGCCATATGAAATAACGGATCTGGTCCATGTGAGCCTGACTGTTTGTTTTTGTGTTTGGATAAAGTGTTTCTTGCTTAACCGATTGGTTTTTTTTAAGCCTTTAATGGTGTCTCAGAGTGCTATTACTCTGATAGACCTACCGGTAGATAAATTCTTTTGCATCCAAATTACTTTCAAAGTACATCCGATAGTACTCAGCTTTCACATGTGAGTAATTCAATCCCTTCATAAATACTTATTCTTTGAAACCTCCCATGTTTTTTGTGGCGGAACCCTAACACTGCATCACGCTAACTACACACAACCCCCTTTATCAAACATGGTGGCAGCAGCATGGCAGGTGCAGCTTAGTTCAGGACTGAACCTTAAGAGTAAACCTGTTACAGGCTCCATAAAACTTCAGAGTGATATAGAAAAAGTGTTGAAGTATCAAATGGGTCCTGATAAAATATAAATAACTAATTGCATTAATTAAAATGCCTTTTAATTGTATATTAGAGTATGTGGAAAAACTTTAAAGTTTATACATACTGCTTTAAGTTACTGAAAATAATGCCTGCATGTATGTAAAGGCCAGTTAGAAGTTTTTATTTTATTCATTAGTAGCTGTGCTACCCCACAATGCAGATTCGCTGCTCGTTTCATCCTGAAGAAGTTTGACTTAACATGGTGGAGCAAAATCTCACACCTCAATGCAACCATACCCCAGTTCACATAGGTTACTGTGCCAAGGGAAATTGGCCAGGCTCAGCATAGTGTCTGCTGGGCTTTAAGGGATGATGAACTATTAATGCAGGAAAACTCCCTCCTATGCATTTTAGAAAAAAGGTCAAAGTTAATCTCTAGTTTGATCATTCTGACAGTTTTAACCTAATTGAAATTAACAATGTAGTTTGTAAGACTCTTTAATCGTAAATTAATCACAGAAAGAACCTCACACATTTTAACACACACACACAGCTTTGTTTTCATGACATATGGGACACTTAATTGACTTGCATTCATTTTATATGACCTAACCCAGACCCTTACCCTAAACTTAACTATTACCAACACATACCTAACCCTACCCCTAACCTAAACTGAATTCACACTGTAGTCCTAAACCTTACACCAACTCAAAAAACAGAATTTTAACATATGGAGACTAGTTGAATGTCCACAAATGTACCCGTAAATCCCCACATGCAGGATATTTTACAAATACTTCCTCCACATTGTACGTAAAACAAGACCACAGATGATGACATAAATCCTGGCTTGGATGCTGCCAAAAATTTAAAACCCTCACACAGAAGTTCCAACAACAATTATTTGACCTTAAATGTCCAAAATGTGTTTCTTGTTCCATTACATCTTCAGAATGTTGATACTGATGTTCCTACTCCAGATGCACCCACTGTCCGTTATAGGAGGTTGGCATGTGCTGGCAGCTGCAAGGGCATAGGTTTGATTTCAACTTTGGTAGGGACACTGTTGGTATGATGTCATTGGTCCTATGCAAAAATATGCATGCTCGTTTTTTTATGCTTGACGTGAAAATCAGGGTGTATTTAATTTAAAGAGAAAAGCAGCATTTCTTGCTACATTTATACAAATTTTATAAGCACTACACACACTAGATGCTGTTTATCAATAACTGACGCTTTACTGGCTCTGATGAATGAGGAAAGAGCACTTCTTTCCACTTTGAAAAGGTTTGCATTTGAAATTACCTAAGACAGTAGGTAAATCTGTGCCTATTTAACAGAACATAGTCTAAATATGTCTGCTATATGTGGATTTATACTTTTTTTTTCAAGATATAGAATTGTGCTGAGGTAAACAGAGGTAAAACCCACTCTTATATTTTAAATGTTCTCTTTGTATAATTAAAACAAAGCAAAATAATAAATTCAAGGGACGCCAAATACATGTATTGTATTTACATGAGCACTGGAAAAAGAAGAGGAACTTTCACGGAGCATTTAATATATTAACTTCACTCTACAAGCTCTACATCTAGGCTGTAGTTACTCTGTTTAACCCATTTCATGTATTTTATTTATGGCTGAAACAATTCATTGAATTAATCAATCATTGAAATAATGTCAAAAAATGTAGTAATCGATTGATCATTATGGAGTATCAAGACTCTAAAAGATGTCTTTAGCTCACAGAGCGACCAACTTAGAGCAATAATTATACCAAAATTAAAAAAAAAAAAACTGAGAAACATTTTCCATTTTATATAAAACATGTTTTCATCTGTCAATATTCCCCATTCCAGAACTCCTCTACTGCTGCAAAAACGCCATATTGTAAATGATAAACATGGTATTCACATCTAATTGTTTGCAGGGACAGGTAGGTCCGTCCAAAGTTTTGGTAGGGACTTGTCCCTATGGTCCCTTTGCAAACCTACGCCCATTGGCAGCTGTATCAAAAAGGAGGTAGAATTTCCAATTCTAAATTTAGGGGGGAAATAAACTTGTGGAAATGCATGATCTTTACCTTTATGCAGAGGATACACACTTTTAGGTCAGCTAAAACAGACTACACAGAGTAAACAGACATAGGCCACACATCTAGTGTAATATTCAAGTTGGTAATAAAATGATATAAAAGAAAAATATGACAAAAAAAAAAAGAAAAACTCACATTTTGTTTCACGTTCAAGGATTTCTGCACATTAATTTCCTACAGGGATAACAGGTCATCTGCAACATTTTCCGTTCACCCTATGATGTATTTTACTTTACCCTTATTGTACTCTATTTTCAATTAGTAAAATACAATTTTATTCTAAAGTAGTTATTAGTTTATAGTTTGATAGCTGTGGCCTAGTGTAAGAGCTTAGCTGCTTTTTCAGGATAAAGAAGCTTTACACTTCACTCATTTAATAAAACCAGTGTTTAAGCTTCATTAATTTGTTATAAAGAGAAAGTTATAAAGAGAAAACTAAACCCAGCTTCCCTGATTCTGTATGGGCTTTTAATACTCATAAAAGCATTCAATATTTTTTTATTCAGAAAGCGAGATTATATGCTATTTTTGGATGTGAGAACATAATAACACTCATGAAAAAAATGTTTTTTTACATAAAAGGGAGACATATTGATTATAACAGTGAATGGATTCCAAGGAGTTATTTATTTAGCTGTTCTTTTGCAGGGTTCCATCTTTCTTGACGCGCCAAACCTTTTCACTGTCTTCTGGTGACATCTAGTGGCGAACGATGGAATTACCTCGGACAACATGAGCTATCAAAAACCGGAAGATTAGCCTATCTTTCGAAAGCTCAAGGACTAGAGAATGTTATGATTGTTTAAATGTATGAAATCTTATTGTTAGGCTCCTTTAATTTAATCCTAAATGCAAACAGTGTTGCTATACGTAGAATATTTGAGTTGAAATATTTGAATAGCAACACTCACGTAACTTTAAAGATAAAAAAAGAAATTTGGTCTGAGTAAAACTTTAGTTTACTTCAACCTCTCACATCCTAACCTTAAGCCTATTCTTGTAATGACACGTGTTTTATGCAAATAAAAGCGGTATGGTAAAAAATAAATAAATAAATAAATAAATAAATAAATAAATAAATAAATAAATAAAAGTGGTATGGTCGAGTCCGGAAGACCTTGAAGGCAGCATCTAAACGGAAGTGACGTACGCGGTTGTCAAGGAAGCGATTCATGTTTACGGAATCTCTTTTTTTTTCAGAAACGGTAGTCCACGTTATCTCATTTTGTTCTGTATAGCTGTTCTGTTTTCCTGTATTTAAGTGAAGAGGAGTCTTTTTAAAACAGAACCCAGGCAACCAAACGAAGACGTGTATTTGCTCTCGGAAGGAAAACGAAAAGTTTCGGAAGCTAATGATGGAAAGCGTTCCTCCTACTGGATCATTTATAGTACCTGACTGGCATCGATGTAAAGAAAGCAAAGAGTACTTCAACAAAATATTGCACAAGAAGAAACAAAGACAGTTTGGTAATTATTAATATTTCCAATTTAGAATTTTGGCTTTGTTTTTAGCTTTAGTTCATACCCAGCCCCTATATAATTACATTCACTGTCAAATATTTACATCTTCAGATCTTCCAGCTCCAGCTCCATTTCTTGTCTTTGCATCAGTGCCATCATCCTCAAATCACACATCATGGATGATCTGCTCCCTGAAACCATAAGCCAGCTCCATTATGGTGCCACTGGCCTTAGTTGTTTTTGTTGAACATGCTTCCTCCTAGTAAATTTTTAGCGCTATTATATAATTTAAGATCATCAGTACGCAGATAAGATTGATTTAGAATTATCTCATATTATCTCATATGATCCCATGTCACACGCTTAGGCTATGTAAAAGAGTTGGATATCTGTAAAATGTCCCCACCTCAAAGAAAAAAACTAAACTAAATTGCTTGTTTGTGCTCTTGAAAAAGTCTAACAAAAATATTCAGATTTGTTAAATTGCCATGTGTAATATTTGCTCTACTAATGCTTTTAAATGGATAAGGGCCTGTGTATTTTTCAGACATTTTATATGCATTCTTATAGCTCTAGAATAGCCTTAGAAACCTACAGTTCTCTGCCATCAGGATTAAGATGTGTTCTGAATTGTGGCTAATTGCCAATTCTTTTAGAAAATGTTATCTTTTCTAAATGTATTTATTTCTAATGGTGGCACATAAGCATGTTTCTACCTTTATGCTTTGATCTTGAACTGCCCTTTCATCCTCTTCTTACCTTTGTACCATGTTAATCTAAGTATCAGGGTAGGATATTGTGACTAATGAATAACAATGTTTATAGATTTTTCAGATAATTGCATAGATCTGTTAACCAAAGACTGATATTGGATGAAGAGGTTATACTGCATTATACCCAAGTGGTTAGGCTGTACATTTGAAGTAAACATACAAAAACAATACATAACAAGGCAATTATTATTAAATGTCCAAAATTATTATCATTATATAAGGTGTTTTGATGTTCATCGGGCAAACCAAAGTAAATTTTTACATTTTTAAAAAGGTTTATTTTAAATCTGATCTTTGTTTTATATAACACATTTTAAATCTGTTTTAATGTCCCTGGAAATATGGGGATTTTCACCAGTTCAGACTTTTCAAATTGGTACCTGATTTCTGAGATCTTCAACACCCCAAAAATCTCATGTATGAACTTATATTAGCATTACAAGCATTTGGATAATTTTGATTCTCCTTAAAAAGGTCTGTTGGAGTCTCCCATGATGCCCCCGCATGCAGCAGTGGACACAGTTCATTATAAGATTTTCATCTCCGGTAAGAGCGGAGTCGGGAAAACTACTCTTGCTGCCCGCCTCGCTGGCCTGAATATTCCCAAAATACACCATGAAACTACAGGTAGGTTTGATTTTCAGTGTAGATCATTTTATACTTTAAAACCTTATACAATTTCTCTGATGCTGTTGGAGGTATTCAGACCACGGTGGTTTACTGGCCTGTGAAGCTGAGAGAAAATGGCAGAGTGCTTTTCTTTCATCTGCAGCTGTGGGACTGCGGAGAGAACGCCTTACGCAGATTTGATCATTTGCTCCCGGTATGTACTAAATATCAAATGTTTGCTTGCAGCCTCAGTTTAGAGGAAACTGAGACTTAGACATTGACCCCCTAATGTTTCCCATTGTCTCTCTTCCAGTCCTGTCAGGAACAGGTGGATGCCGTTCTGTTTCTTTTCTCCTTCACTGACAGGACTTCCTTTGAAGATTTGTCCAATCAGATTCTTAAATGGACCGAACAGTCTGATGGCTGTCTTGTCAAAGTGGTGGTTGGCACAAAGTATCCTTAACCTGCTGCAACAAAGCTGTACTGTCCTTACATTTTAGCTGTTTTGGCAACCTGTGTACAGTGATGCCATGCAAACTTTTAAGCTTGACAGAATCAAAAGGAAGCTGGTAGAACCTACCAGGAATCAGTGAAAAGTTGCATATTTCTTCCTTAACGCTCACTTCAGGTTTGACCTCTTCATGCACTGTGATGTAGCAGAGAGAGACCTCAGAAAATTCCAGGAGACCTGGAGGATACCTGTTCTCCGTTCGGGGGGAGAAGTCAGCGACGGGTTGGGTGACATAGCCCCGATTCTCAACTGCCTCGCTGAGAATCTGTGGCATCAGGACTGTGTTAAAGCAGGAGCAGTCAGTCAGCATCCGCAGCATGAGGCAGGAGCTCTCATTTAAGGCTCAGGTCAAAGCCTTTTCAGTACAAGACAGAACTTAAAGTGACAGCTACCATCTTATTAGACACAGTTATGACAAGAAGTGTCAAGAGAGGATTTCTATGACCTGACATATATAATGGATATTTTTAGAAAAAAGTTACAAGCTCATATTTTTATATATGAACCATTTCTGTAGATTCTTCCTCTGTATTTTATGCCAAGATGATTAAGTAGTCCATGAACCTTTTAGGTCTTCGCTAATCTGAGTTCAGCTAGTGGGAAAACTAGCATAACTGCATGCAATAACTTGTTGGAATGCATCTTAAGGAAACCTGTCTCACAATTTGATAAAGCATTCAGCTATGTTCTATACATAACTACAATGCAAAATCAACTGAAGCTTCAATAGGGAAACCATTTGAAAAGAATGTCACTTAGCATTAATACCAGTTTATTACCATAGATCACAGCTTGACTTAAAGATCTGATGCATGAATCAGAATTTCAGGTACCATCTTGCAAACGTTCAGTGTCAAGTTCTCATTTACTGAACTGTAACTCTGTTTACTAACTTAAAAATTGACCATGAAGTATTTTGGGCTTTATAAGATTAATAATTTTTTTTTGCAGATATAGCCTTTGTCTTCAATGTTAATGCAGCTAAATTTAAGATTGTGTTTCATGTGAATTTTGAAAAGAATATTAAAGTCTTTGTTGAGGCCAAGCCAATGCATTAAGCCACTGAGGCGCATTAATAGTTGACGTGCTGCTTGCTGTCTTGTCGGAAGAATTATAGAGTCCACACTGCTGATTGCGCAGATCATCCATTTTATTTTCTTACATTTATTCCATTTCTACTCTTGACATATTTCCATTATTTCCATACGTCCGTTGACAGCCTAATACTTCAGTAATCAAAAACTGTTTAGTCCTTCTGGGTGGAACACCCGTGTCATAAACAAAAGGTTCCGTACTTCTAGACAGATTAACCAAAAATGTAATCACCTTGCTCCTATAGTGTTGACAGGATAGGTTGTATTCAAGAATCAAAAACTGATTTTGAACAGTCAGCCCTCTCAGAAAGGCATGATTAACCTACCTGCAGTATTTAAACCTACATTTCTAAGAGATAAAAATTGATTTTAAGTTGATAAATAGATCAATTAGCACATTTCCCCAATGATTTTAACGTTTTATTTTATTTAGAATTTACACATTATGTAGACCACATCCGATTATGCTCAATGTTTTCCATGTTTGGCCCCAAGTCAAAATAAAAATTCACTTTTATCCCTCTGATCAATCGTAAAGTCTCTCCTCAGCCCTGAAGAGATTAGGCTGTTCCATCCCAATCGCTACAGCTTAAAGAGGCAGTTGCAACCCCCTGACAAAAGTACATACTGTGTATGTATATTGCATTTATGTAGTCCATTTATGGGGCCTCCTGCATGTGGCTCAGTTTTTAAAAAGAAGCGAAAGTTGCTCAGTTATGTCATCCAGGTTGGTTTTGTAGCTGCTGCAAGTTATGATTCAACCAAGGGGAGACTTGTAACTTTTAAATGGGCATTTTTCAAAAGTCTCAAAACTACATGTGCATCATCTACTCAATTTGAATGCTTTTTTTAGAAAAAGGATAAAGCCTGTCACATGGATTGGACATTTGGTTAAATTGATTGAAATAAATTGGAGGATTTCAGGTGAAGTTACCTTAATGCTTTCTAGGCATTAGACCGCATGGCATGCTGCCCTGTGAGCTTCAGGTGTCTGACAAACATCTGCGGTACAAGTTGTTTTACCACAGGATGATTTTTTTTTATTGAACCGCTATACAATTTCAGACTGATTATAAAAATCTTTATTCATAAAACATATTGCTTAAATTAAGAAAAATTGTGAAACCCTTTGAACTTCCTTCAACATTTTGGAACATTTCTACAAGAGTGCCAAGAACTGATAATTTAGGTGCACCCAGGTGTGAAGAATTGAACATGAAATGAGGGATAAAACTCTAAAATACAAAAAAGATGCAACTTTTCATTTAGAAACAGCCATTACTTCTTAGAAAGGGCCTTTATCCATTCCTCCTTATCGAAGCTGCAAAAAAGTATAAAAGATTTACTGCCAGTTATGATACATAAATTAAAAACTTTTTTCCCCATTTTACCTTCCATTGGCAATCAGAATCATGGTAGTCAAAGGTCCCATCTGACTCTCAGACAGCATCAACAGGAAGGATTCTGGAGGAAGTCCCACAACTTTACTTTGCACAACGTTCACATGTTGAGGGAAGAGAGCGTAATCCAACACAGTGAACCGCTCATACCTGGATGTAACAGAACACAGGGTAACCTTATTCAGTTAGAAAGAAATCTGCCTGAACATCAGTAGGTTGAGCAGGTCATGTACTTTTTTGAGGAGATCAGCAAGAGGTCGTTGAAGAGATGGAGGTAGATGCGGTTGATTGACATTTTTGAACCGTAACTCCCCAAAGTGGCCAGGGGTCCATGGTGAATCAGAACGCGTGTGCTTTTCACTAGAGGGACTGACTGATAGGGAAAGAGATGCATTCAGAATTACCAAGTCATAGGGCTCCATATGAACTCAGCAGAAAATTGTTGAAATAACACCTTGATGTCAGCAAAGTCCAGCAGCATTTCCAGGCGGACCAGTTCCTCCAAAGATTTCATTTTTTCCACCTTCTGGTCACACTCCACCAAAATCTTTTCAGGTAAAGAAATCCAAAAACACTATATTGTTATAAAGTGACAGTAGAATTATGGAGTAGAAGAACATAATTGAGTTTTTCTTAAAGGTCAAATCAGAGGTTCCCTCATCTTGATAGATTTCATATAATTTAGAAGGAAATTAAACGATGCAGGGTTGGGATCTTTGGCTCACTTTAAAGTGGAAATTGAAGCCCTTAAACCAGTGAGTTTACAGCAGTGTTTATAATAATCCTCTCTGTTGACTAAAATCGGAAATTATTTATGTTTAAGTCTGCAGCATTTACTTGTAAATAAATATGAATGAATAGGATTTTTTTTCCCAGACAGACAATTTGACAAACAACAAGAAATTACCAAATACACACAAAGACTAGGTGACATCAACAGAACTAAAAGCAAATTTCCAAACTAACCAAGTTCACCTGAACATAAATAGAAACAAAATCCTCCACAGCCTGAGAAATGACAATCGACCAATGGAAATGGTCTGAAAAGAGGTATGAAGTAGTAAAACTTATTGTTCATACCTTCCGGTTCAACTCCCCCCCCCCCAATACACACACACACACACACACACACACACACACACACACACACACACACACACACACACACACACACACACACACACACATATATAATTATGTATACAATTACCTCATGAATGCCCTTTATTGCCTTTGTAAGATTTGAAGCTGCTTCAGAGTTTGGCTCTGTCAGTTTCAGGATGCCCTGAAAGTAAAGAGTTGGGATTAAAAGCATTGCATCTGAAAAAAAAAAAACAGCCATTGATTAAAAAAAACAAACTGCAGCTTTACCTCTAGTAGAAGTTTAATCCGCGTTATTCTTTGGAATGGTAGAACCAGGAATGATTTCAGTCTCCGTTTCTGACAGACTGGGTCATCCTCTAGTCTCTTGAGAGCGTACATAAAGTCTTTGTTTTCCTGCCTAAATAAAAGATTTACCTGTGTGATGATGGCTGATGTTTATAGTACTCTCACATCTGAGTTGATAGTTAATTCTAAATGCATCAAATGGGAGCCTCCATTAGAAAACCCAAAACATATGGAGGCATTTCCATGTTACACAATAAATTACATTCATTGTTTCCATGAAGTGGGCTGTGCTTGTATGTCTAGTGCTGTATTCATCCATGTTAAACATACAAAACTTTGAGAAAAAAAAAAAATTCTCCTGCAATATCTTATGAAAATAAATTAAGGAATAATTGATTGTCAGCTTTATTTTAACCTAAAAACAACATTTTCCTCTGAGGGAGTGTTGCCCTAGTGGTTAAAGCAGAGCTCTTATGCTCTGAGAAGGTTGCAACTACCCAGTTGGATCCCCACAACCTGCACTCTGGGTCCCTGAGCAAAACCCTTAACCCCAGACTGCTCCCTAGGTGCCACACAATGGTAGCCCACTGCTCCCTAAGGGGATGGGTTAAATGTAGAGGTTAATTTCTCAAATGCAAGTAAATAAAGTTAAATTATAATCATGAAATTATGCATTAAAGCCAGATTTTTTCCAGTTTCTTCAAAAGCACCTGTACATTAAGGATTTTAAAATGTAGTGCAATTCATTGTAAACATGGAAACTTTTAGTCCAACCAAGTCATTTTCTTTTCCACTATGTTTAAACATATTGTGAATATCCAGGTAACCCAGTGCCAGCCGGTTAAAGAACATGCTTACAGCAGTTGGTTGACAAGGGACTCCTGAAACATCATGTTGGTCAGATATGGCACATATTGCCGCTGAAAGTTTCCACAGTGCAGCAGCACAATGTCTCCAACTTGAAATATCATCACGCTTTCTCCCAGTCTGGCTTCCAGGTCCAGAAAGAATCTTAAAAAAACAAATAAACAAAAACACCAGTTCAAGCCGTCAAAAATAATGATTGATGCTGGCTAAATATAAAACATCGCAGTTGTATTTGAGGAACTCGCCTCATATTTGCTTGCATCACATGGCGAATGTTGCAAAACAAAGTACGATGCTCCATTTTGGATATAGTCTTCTTCAACTCATTTGATGCATAGAAATGATTGATGACCACTCCAAGGCTCTTCAGATAAGACCCCTCAGAGGCTACCAGCTCAAACATGGACTTTTAAAGCAGAGAAAAATTAGTCAATTCTAAACCTTCTGGAATGGTCTTCGACATTTTAAGCAACGCACCTCCTGAAGGATGATCTGTTTGGGCGTCAAGATTTTGAGCAGATCAGATGCTTTCACCTCTTCCAAGTCTTGCCAGAGTGTGCAAGACGACAAGGCAATATTGGGAAGTTGAGCTGGGGAGAACTCATCAGAACTTGTAGCTACAGAAGAACCTCGAGGCTTAACAGGGCTCAAAGCAAAAGCTTGTTCAACAAAAGGCCGAGTTGGGGATGAATTAGGAGACTTTCGGGGGGATGAAACTCCATTAAACGCATGGCGCCTGATAGCAGACCGCCGGGCGTGAAATGTTGGAGGGGATGAAATTGACTCTGGAGTCAGATAAGGAGATGAAACATCCAAATTTTTTTCTATGCTGGAAAGATGAAAACACACTCTGAACAGACTCAGTCATCCCCTGGCCAAACAAAAAGACATTGTCGTTTTTTTGGATCTTGTCTCTGGCAGCCTGTAGAAAGTAGTCCTGATACAGTGGGACTGCACGGAAAACAAAGGTTAGGGAAAGGAAAAAAAAATGTTGCATAGATTATTCAGTTTAGAAAAGAGGATTTAAACTCACAAAGGCTGATGTACTTGGACTGGACAAATAAACTCTGCAGTTCATCCTCATCTGAACTCATTTCCCTGGATTTATTAGAGGCCTCATTTAGTTACACAGCGATTCAAAACAAAGTACAGATTTAACACCTTCATTCACCTTTCTTCCAGACCATCTGGACTCTGCAAATCCCACTTTTGTTCCAGGGGGGTAGGTATCATAGCTGCAGACAAATCTATTGGAGGGCTAATGAGAAAATGCATCAATCAGGAATCTTATATTACTAAAACTCTGTTTCTTTCACATAAAAATGATTAGGGAGGAACCTGTAATCTTTAGGATGGTCTGTATTGTCCCCGCTTCCAAGAAATTCGTTTTTTAGATTAGAAGTCTCAGAAGGAATGTCATATCCTGGCTCTGAATCAGATCCAAGATAAGCTATTATATCTGGTATAAAGCCATAGCTGCTGGCTTTTCTTTCTCTGGGGTGAGAAAAGTCCATAATGACTGAAAGAGCTTTCTCCAACAAGTTTCTAACTTCTGCTTCGATTACTATAATGGAAAAAAAACCTACTGTGGCAACAGAACCGGTCAAACTAAATAGCTTTTTTATCCACTTGGATCCAGTCTGAGCTCTGGGCAGCAATCACTATAAGTAGAAGCAGGTGTGGCGTTTCCTCCTGTTTAATCAGATGCTGAAAACCCCTGGTGGCCTTATTAGAACTGTACTCTCTCTTTATATGGAGAACATATATGTTTATCTCATTAATTCTATTTCATTCAGTTTATCTAAAGCACCAGCTCAATGCATCAAGTTGGAAACTTTAAAGAAATCCCTCATCTTGAGCAAATGTGTGAAGAACAGGAAGGATACACCATCAGCTGCAAAATGTCAACAGAAAGGAGAACTACTATAAACGGATCTGATGGCTAATACAGCCTGAAATCAAGGGCATAGGTTTGATTTCAACTTTGGTAGGGACACTGTTGGTCTGATGTCATTGGTCCTATGCAAAAATATGCATGCTCGTTTGTTTTTATGCTTGACAGGAAAATCAGGGTGTATTTAATTTAAAGAGAAAAGCAGCATTTCTTGCTAGATTTATACAAATTTTATAAGCACTACACACTTTAGATGCTGTTTATCAATGACTGAAGCTTAACTGGCTTTGATGAATGAGGAATTTTGACTTTTTTCCTCTTTGAAAAGGTTTGCATTTGATATTACCAGTGTCTAAGACAGCAAGGTAAATCTGTGCCTATTTAACAGAATATAGTCTAAATATGTCTGCTATATGTAAGTTTATACTCCCCCCCCCCCCCCCCCCCATTTTTAAGATATAGAATTGTGCAGAGGTAAATAGAGGTAAAACCCACTCTTTTAAATGTTGACTCTGTATCATGAAACAAATAATACATAATAGATTCAAAGGACACCAAATAAAGTTATTGTACTTACATGAGCACTGGAACTAGAAGAGGAACTGAGACTGAGCGTTTGATATATTAACCTCACTCTACAAGCTGTACATCTATGATGTAGTTACTCTGTTTAACCAGTTTAATGTATTTTATTTAGGGCTGAAACAATTCATCGGATTAATCAATCATTGAAATAATGTCAACAAATTTAGTAATCAATTAATCGTTAACTGGGGTATAGAGAATCTGAAACATGTCTTTAGCTTACAGAGCGACACACTTAGAGCAGGAATTACACCAAAATTGTAAAAAAAATGAAAATTCTGCATTTTAGATAAAACATGTTTTCGTCTGTCAATATTCTACATCCAGAACTCCTCTACTGCTGCAACAAAGCTGTACTGTTAATTATAAACATGTTATTCACATCTAATTGTTGGTAGTGACATGTCCCTATGCAAACCTACGCCATGCCTGAAATCCATAGTTTTTGCACTTAGTACTTGATCTAGCTTCTAATGCATAATCTACTGTAGTATGTTAGAACAGTGTGCCAAGGAGGTGATCTTGCTGACGTATTAAGGAAACCCAGGGTTCTTTGAAAGCAACCACTCAGCTTTTTCTTAATACTCTACACATAGGTCCAATCCAGCCCAGTGACATTAAACCAGGTATTGATACTTCTGGCAGAAATTTGCCAAGTTCTGGTGGTAGAACACCAGCATTTTAATCATGGTTACATTTGTTGCTTGTGCACCATTTCTCCCGCCAAACCTTCCATTAATATGCTTGAACACTTTTCAGTAACAGATGTCTCCAGAAAAACTATCTAACCAGCACTCTTTTTCATCATGTAGATGACATTGCAACTAGGGTTGCAACTAAATATTTAGCAAATCGATTGATCTGTCAATCATTTATTTTGATTGATCAATAGTCAGAGAGCCAAAGGTTTCTTAAAGCACTTTTTAAGACATTAAACCAGATGAAAATAAAACATTTCCACCTGAGGAGGTTTGGATAGAGAATATTGACAGATGGAAAACATTTGTTTTATCTTAAATGCAAAATGTTTATATATATATATATATATATTTTTTACAATCTGGGATTATTAGTGCTCGAAGCGGGTTGCTCTGTCAGCTAAAGGCAGGCTTTAGAGTCTCTAGACTCCAGTTGATGATTAATTGATTACTAAATTAGTTGACAATAATTTCAATAATCGATTAATCATGATTAATCAGCCCCAATTGCAACATTTTTGTATTAAAAACCAGTCCCATCAAAACAAATACCTCAACTTTTCGTAACTCTGGGGATCAGTTCTCATTTAACCAAACTTTAGCTCACTAATATATATAATGAATACATTGCTTAGAAGATACAATGTCAAATATGAGAAAAAAACAACTAACATTTGCCCAAAAACTGTAATGGCAAAAATATTTTTTATATTAATAATCAATGAAAACGCTTTTCATTGAAATGAAAGAAAATGTATCAAAATTGCTCCCAGGCCTTTTGCATATCTCTACAGATATCTTTGATTTTATGCAAATAATTGAAGTTCACTGAAATTAATTTATAGCTTAACCATTTACAGACTGTTGGATTTACATTAGCAGTAGGTAATAATCATAACCTATACTTTAATAATCAAATAACAAATGTCACTTTAGTAAAAGTATAAATTATCATTTACTAAAATAAGTTTGCTGTACAGTTACTGAATATCAAACTTTATATAATGTTTTAAAAAAAAATTTTTAATGACTTGAAACGCACACCGCTTATACAAATACTGGTTTAATTTTATTTGCAATTTAAAATTTCATACAAGATAAAAGGAAAAATCTGCCTGAACATTGTAGGTATGACTGCAACTCTAGAATAGATATGATGCACTGGCAGGATGGCCAGACCCAAGATGAAAAACGGGAAGATTTCAAGTAGAAACAAACCATGAGGATTTGACATGTTAAAAAGTTTCAGAACAGGAGCTACAAACTGGTTCTGTAATTATACACATGGCAAAGCTTTCATGTTGCAGATAATCATTCAAAACAAGACAAGATCCCTTCTGAGAGAGACATGCTGAATCGATAAACGCCATCCACCGTCACGCTTGAATATAAATCATATTTTAGTGATCGTTGCTATGAATTTAAAGATTTCCAATTATATATGGAACATATTTTCACCTGAAAATGAGCTGCCTATGTTCTCAATGAGCAGCTCGGTCAGGCTAACGCCCTAATTTGGACTACAGACGTTAAAATCAGCAGAGGAACATGAGCTGTATTCAAGCTTGATTAGATTTTTTTTTTGTAGTGGTTTCGTGAAACGTGAAAGAGAAACTTTGAGAATTTAATTTTACCATTTGTATGGTTTGACAAATCAGTATTGAGAGATAAAACAAGATAAAAAAAAATTATTATACCAATTGCTAAAAAAAAACAAAAACAATTAAAAGGATGGGCTACCCAAAACATCTGCATGCAAACACACCTCATACATCTGTAATAGCCAAAAACATAAATCACTGGCTGTACTCTTTTCATCGCCGATTTTCTGTGACAAACCAAGAGACAGCATTTTCCTCTGGCTTTTACAAGCTCCCTTTTAAAGAGAAGATTGAGATATATCTGTAACAAGGTCTTAATAAGACAGATGCTGAGATTCGCTAGGTGGGCACAGTGATACTGCGAGCCAGAAGTGCCAGCAAGGCAATTTCCACCACTCCGTTGGCTTGCTCAAGGGCCTCCACAGCCTCCCTGGCAGAAAAACCTGCTGCCTGGATTCTCTGGATGTGCTCGGCTGGGAACTGTCCCATAGAGGGAGGTGGAGGAGGTGGGGCAGAGGAGGACGAGGTGCTTGAAACGTCCCCTGGTATGCTAACAGCTCCTGATGCAGGGCTAAGGAAAGCTTGCTCAGTCTGGAGAGTATCTGGGGTGCCAGTACCAGAGGCTCGTCCATCTGCGATCCCTCTTCCATGCTGCCCCTCTGGCGGCTCCCTGAACTCAGGAACCAGTGCAGGACTGGGAGGAACCTCCGAAGCACCAATAACACAGGTTGCTTCTCTATCCTGTTGGGCTCTGTCCTCTGAGCTGTCTGGGTGCTGCTCTGGGTGTAGCCCTCCCCCTGTTTCTGCTGCATCATCATGCAAATTATCGACCTTAGCAGCTAGGCCAAGCACAGGACACTGAGGTGGTTCTTCATCAGCAGCAGCATGGTTAGCTTTGGCATCACTTGTTTCAGCACCAGCTGCATCAGTTGGAGGAGCAGGGCGGCTGCTTTCTGTTGGGGTGCTGGGCTCAGGGGATGCTTTGTCAGAGTCCTGTGCATGCGGATCAGATGGGGAGCAGGACATGCTGCGACTCTGGGATCGCACCAGCAGCTCGTGGAGCTCCTTCAATGCGGCCGCCAGAGAGGGGATGCTGTCAGAGCTGGAGCAGCGGTCTCCATCCGGCTGCTCGCTCTCCTCGGAGGTAGAGGGACACTCCATTTCAACTGACTTGGCCTCACATTCAGTCGCCCCCTCATCCATGGGCTGTTCAGGCAAACACTCCTCTGGTGTCATTTGTACGGAGCTGCTCTCCCCCCCCTCTGACTCTGTGGCTGCGGGCAGCTGTTCATGGCCTGGGTCCTGGGACTCAGCGGAGGCGTTTGTGGGAGGGGTACATGTACGGAACATATCCGATGAAGGACTGGGAAGATTAAGTTTGTTTTGGAGAGGCAGAGGATGAAGAGGGACACTCTGAAGCGTAGAAGCCTCCTTTTCTGGGGATAAAGATTGAAGAAGCTCTTGAGGCGTCGGCTGCATGGTGGCCGGCGCAGACTGGGAGCGATCCAGGGTCGGGTTTTGTGATTGACAACTAGAAGGATTTTGGGAAGATGAAGAGGGTATGGCCACTTGATCTAATGGTCTTGGTAATTTAAATGGCAGGGGCTGCGGTGAGGTAGTTTGTCCATCTGCAGTGTCTATTATAAGAGAGAATATAAATGGAAATCATCATTTTGAACCACATCTAAAACAAACTCATGAATGATTGCAATTTTTACAATTTAAATGTTGTAAACTAGAGAAATAAGTAAATATACAGACAACAAACCACCCAGCAGCAAATAATAAAAAACAAACTAAATGATTCAACAGCAATGGACTTAGCTCTGGCAACGGTCTTGTGAGATTGCAGTACCTGGTTGGTGGGGCCCTCTTCAGCTGTGTCCAAATGCATCAGTGCTGTCCTGCTCAGGGGTTAGGGGCACACAGCACACACATCATGCAAAGGGACGGAGAAAGTTAGCAGTCACACACAGAGCATGCAACCAAACCAAACTGTCGGCCTTTTCACACAAATCAGATGTGAAAAGTGTCTTCTGAAAACATCTCCAGCAAGGCCCAGGTTCTTATTTGGAATATTCACAAACTCATCAGTCAACTGCAGGAGCTCCTGAATGAGGTCACCTTAGCTGCATAGTTGAATTTTTTCAAGAGAGCAAAATCTTCAAACAGGAGGACAATTTTTTTTCCCTCTAATTGATGAAAGCCTGATTTCCCTTTTTTAGAAGCATAATGCCATAAAAGCTTTGTCTTTTTGGTGCTTATTTTGGTACCAAAGGCCAATGTTAAGTATAAAAACATCACTTTATCCAAAGCTATAGGCAAATGACTTCATTCATCTACAGTTGACCATCGTTTGTTGTTCAGCAGCAGTCAAATCTTTTAATAATTTCTGACATGTTTCCACTGACT